TTCCAATGACTGATCTGTTGATCACTTTGCTTCCATTTTCGTAAACCAATACAAACTAGTGAAAGGGTTGGAGTTGACTTCGGTTACCTTAGACTTTAATATATAGTTTGTATGATGCGCCCGAAAGGAATGCTAACTTTTGGGGCTAAAATAATTGAGTTGGATAGAGTTTGGAGTTGGTGTAGAAAAGTGGTCGTTGCACTTTTTTAGAAAGGTGACACTTGTGCCTTTCTTCTGTAGTATTATGCTTATTGGTAGGTTGCACTTTGCATTTTATTAAACTCTATGAGAATAGTGAGCTCTCATTGATCTTGATTTGGTCTTGGTGGCCTTATGCCTTGGCTGGGGATGGTGATGTTTAATTTAATTGTTTAAGTTTGAGATGTTAGTACCTGTACTATAGATTTGTCTATGAGGAGGTTGTGTACCGATATAAGTTCATCTCATGGTTTTCACTTTAGTTTTGACTGAGTGTTGATCATGCATAGTTGACCTCTTCAAAAAGGCATGCTCAGAGCTATTGGCTAAATGCATTGGTAAGCTTATTGCAATTGAGTTAGATTCGAATGGTCATTTAGTTTGTGCTTGTCCATGAACTTTTGTCTTGTACTTGGGATATTACGTTCATGTTGGCCAAAGTATATGACTTGATGACATGAGTTTAGTGTTGGGTCTTATGAAAGCAAGTTGAAGAATGATTGTTAGTTGCTTTACAACTAGTGATTACTCGTAAATTTAGTCGAGAACTGTTGATACTTACTTCACTTGATGAAGATTTATTAGTGATGGGTTTACTTTACCGAATGGTGTTGTGAAGGATCGTGTCATTAGACTTACATGGGTTTTCCATGTTGGCATATTGATTCTACCTTTGTTAATATCATTTGGTTATGTTTAATTCATGGTGTTGGATTTTATTAAGTCTTGGATATGGTGAATCACTCCTTGATGATGTGTTATCTATAATTGAGTATTGTTGAAGAATTGGTCTCGAATACTAAGTATAGTATTTTTGATTTTGGTTAGCTTAGTTGCTAAAGAGCTTTAAGTGGTGATTCACTCTTGCTTTCTTTTAAATTTGTTTTGGTGTTGATGGCATTGAAGTGATACCTTGTTATTGACATTATTGATGTTGAGATTCAAGTGAGATGAGATGTTTCTCCATATGATTGATATTAAGTTTCATTAGTCTTGATGTAAATAATGTTGATGCTTGGGCTGTAACTTTGTATTATTGGCATTTGTACAATTGCTAGTTAGCAACTGTATTGATGTTTAAATGAACTGAGTGGCAAGTTTTAGTTAGTTATATTCTAGACGAGATTGCTTAGTCAAGGTTGAGTTTTGAACTTTTCCTTGAAAAGTGATTTAGTCGTGGACTATACTAACTCTACAAGAGGAAGAGTTAATGATCAATATTGAAATGATTGAATCTTTGTTGGATTTGAGTTAGGATATATTGATCATTGATGATTCTTCTTATGTTTGTTATGAAGCGAATTACGTCTTGTTATAGATGGATTCATGGAGGATCATTTAATGATCACTTGCTGAGCATACCTTTATTATGCTTAGCTTTTGGAATGATGCAGAGATGCTCTTCATTAACTTTGCATTATGAACTTTGGGCTATGGATGTGTTGAGGAGGATATTGTGGGTTGTACCATGA